TTCAGCTTGAACCTGAACACCAACCATGGGCATATTCTGGTGGATTACTCAAAGAACCTTGTGACCGAAACTGTGATGCAGATGCTGGTGGACCTGGTAATGTTCTGCTGTGGGGGGCTTGACCTGTGACCCACGGCTTGGCAAGTGAGCTGGGCTCCTGGGAGCCCCCGGGTCCTTGAGCAGCTTTATTTCCTTCTCTCGGTGGACCTCGGTCACTGCCTCTGTGCCAGTGTAGGGCTCTGAGCTCCTGCCCCCTGGCTCAGGTTCTGACCAGCATCCCAGGGGACCCAGGGCAGACCCTTTGCAGGCAGCGGGGGAGGGCAGCAGGCTGCAGCCATCTGTCAGCCCCATTGGGGGCTGCATCAAGCCCAGAGCTTGGTGGCCTGCGCTCTTGGTCACCAGTGTGGATGGGATCAAGCCTTAGCATCTTCTCTTCTCAGGCCAAGTCCAGGGGTGTGGAGGCTGCCCGGGAGCGCATGTTCAGCGGCGAGAAGATCAACTTCACAGAGGTGAGCTGGTCTGTGGACGGCAGACACTGCCTACCCTTCAGGGCCTCTTCCTTCCCTTTGGGGTTCATCTGACTGACAGCATCACACTGTGTCTTCATCTCTCCTCTTAAGCAATGTTTTTGCCTAACGAGGGGCATGAAAGCCTGTTTCCTAGGGTGGGTTGCAGGGCCGTGGGGTGCATCCTCCCCGGGACTGGCCGTCTCGATCTGGTGAGCATGGAATGGCTCCCAGTGTCTACCTGGGGAGAGCACGTCTCAGGCTTGCAGGGAGATGGCTTCTCAAGGCATGCTTAGAAAACTTACCTCGGGGCTATCTTTGCTGCATGTTCTTTTAGTGAAAAGAGGAATCTTAGGACATAAGCTCTGCTTCCTCTGTGGTACAGTCAGTAAGAAGCAGCGATAAGGCCAGGGCTTGGGGGCCCTGTTCCTGAATTGCTGTGGCAGCCTGGGGGCATAATAATCACTGGGTGCTCAGAGTCTCTTCTTCACAGGGTTAGCATTCTCTTTTTATGCCCCAGGAAGCTGAGGTTCAGAGGGCAAATCACTTACCCGAGACATCATATCTGTAAGAGACAGAGGTTTCAAACTCCACTTGTCTTGCCGCTGGCTGAGGGAGGCTGCAGTCAAGGAGGGCTTCCTGGAGGAGTGCATTTTCCTATGGAATGGGGGACAGGAGTGAAGTTGGGCAGGGTGAGGGCAGAGTGGCATGAAGGTTCTCCACCTTAGTGGGCCTCTCCTTGGTTTGGAGTCCAGCGACCATCCCTTTCCTGCCCACCTGGAGTCTTTAGATCTGTTTCCTTCAAGGGCTCCTCCCCCAGCTTCAGCTTGATGGGACTGTTGCTCTCACATGACAAGGCCAGCTTCTTGGCACCTGTCACAGGCCTACAGGTGCATTTGGTTTTTGGCAGTTAGCATGATGGGGCTGCTTGGCGAGGGCCGTTTGAGTTGCCTGCTTTGCTCCACATCCAGGGGGCTGGGCGTACTTTTTAGAAGGGGCCGGCAAAGACACCGTGTGCTCTCATGGAGACAATGAGACCAGCCTTAACGAACCCTGGTCCTCTGAAGCTGTTTATTGCTGTGTTGTCCCCATTCTCTGCCTTTGCTCACTCTGTTCCTCTTTCCCTGGCTTTTCATGCCCTGAACAGCTACGGGCCCTCTGGGCTTGTTCTGGGCTTCTCCAGGTCTCCCTCCCCTTCTGACTGTCAGTAGACCTCGGGGATGTGTGTCCAGTGGAGTGAGGGCCATGTTGCACCGGGCCCTCACCGCCCCAGCCGGGGTGGCTGCCCTGGGGTGGGGGTTTTCACGCACTGACTGTCGTCCCCAGGATCGGGCGGTGCTGCACGTGGCCTTGCGGAACCGGGCAAACACACCCATTCTGGTAGATGGCAAGGATGTGATGCCAGAGGTCAACAGGGTCCTGGAGAAGATGAAGTCTTTCTGCCAGGTAGGCCGCTGCTGCGCTGGACGTGCCTTTGGCCACGCGTATGCGCGTGGGTCTGGGAATCTGGGGGCCTTGCTTGGAGAGGACCCACGGCCTCACTGCAGCCTGAGGTGGAGGCAGTCTGCGGGATCACCCCGTGTTCTGAGGGAATTTCCCTGCCCCTGTGGTGAGGGAACCTACCGCGGGCGGCCACAGAGCAGCCTCCTCGCTGAACTCTAGACACCTGTGGGCTCGCGGTGACCATCCGGCCAGGGCGGAGATCCAAAAAGAAAAGCGAGGCCCCTGAGGGGTGGGATAGTAGGGGAGAGACTTGCCTTTTCTAATCTCTTTAGCGATATGCCTTCCTTTTCTAGGCTGGAACTAGATAAAATCAGTGTGTTAACATTTGCTTGGCCGTACCCCCAGCCAACTCTCCAGAAGCCGCATTTATAGGGTTTACTGTGAGATCTTCTGGAAGCTTCCTGTGCGTGTGCTATGTATGTGTACATCTGTGTCCTCCTCTTTGAAACACGTGTGCACATGTATTCACACACATGGGTTCATTTTTACCTACTCTCCTGCAGCCTATTTGTACTTATAAATAAGTAAGATATGTCTCTGGGTCCGTGTTGATGCTCATACCGTGCCCCCTTTTCCTGTTGGGGGGTGGTGGTGTAGGGATTGCCTCAGACCAGCTAGCTATTTCCCCATGTCAACCACTGTTACCGCAGTGTCTATCCCAGGGGTGATTCTGCAAGGGTTAGGGGCCATCCTCAAGCCTGGAGTGCGGGGGTCATGTGTGTGCATGTGCACATTGTACGTATGGGCTGTGCACGCTCTGGGAGTGATAATCTGGGCTCTAGGCTGCTTGTCCCTGGAACCAGCGACCCCTGCCGGTGGCTGGTCCAAGTCTGGTTGCTTTGGCTCAGAGCCACTTCAGACCTCAGATGGCAGCAGTGATCTGACCATTAATCCTGGAGGCCTGATAGCCAAGTGAGTGGGACTCCCGCGGGTGAGGACAGGTTGGCAGCCTGCTGGGAATCTGGATTCCAGAATGTCCCTTAACGCTGGTCAGCACCTGTGTGCCGAGTGTAGGGAAGGGCCTTCCCCGTCATCGGTGGCGAGTGGTGGAGCTGACGTGCGGCAGAAGCTCATCGAACGTGTGCGTGCTCAGGTCGGCTGTGTGGAGAGCGTGGTCCTGGCTGTCTGGGAAGCTATTTCCAGGAAAGCCCGCCCTTACAGCTGGCTTCAAGATACCTGACTCAGGCGAATGGGGTATTTATAGTTCAAAAAATGCTACTGAGTGGCAGCAGTTACACGTAAGGAACACTCCCCAGTGGCTGTGCTCTTAGAAGTTCGCCAAGGTTGGGTTGAGGATGGTTCACCATGATCTTGTCTATAGTGGTAGAAATCAAAAACAACCTGAGCTTGGGGCGCCTGGCGGGCTCAGTCGGTGGAGCATGTGACTCTTGATCTCGGGCGTGAGTTCGAGCCCCACGTCGGGTGTAGACATGGCTTAAACATAAAATCTTTTAAAAAATTTTATTTAAAAATTAAACAAACGGGCACCTGGGGGGCTCAGTCGGTTAAGCGTCTGCCTTCGGCTCAGGTCATGATCCCAGGGTCCTGGGATCGAGCCCTGTGTCGGGCTCCCTGCCCAGCGGGGAGCTTCCTTCTCCCTCTCCCTCTGCCTGCCGCTTCCCCTGCTTGTGCACGTGTTCTCTCTCTCTCTGTCAAATAAATAAATAAAATTTAAAAATAAAATAAAATAAAAATTAAACACACAACCCGAGCCCATTTATCAGAGGACTGATTAGTGACGTCAGCGTATGTTCACACGGTGTGGTCCCAGGCACCAGCAGATATGAGGCAGCTGTGGTTACATTGAGCTGCCACACTGTGCAGGATGTGCTATGAAGTTCAAAGTGGAAGTTGCCGAATGGGCACGTGTTGTAAAACGCCATTGGGTCAGATAAAGGGTGTGTGTAAACTTATTTTTTTTTTTTTAAGATTTTTTTTTTTTTTAATTTGACAGACACAGCAAGAGAGGGAACACAAGCAGGGGGAGTGGGAGAGGGAGAAGCAGGCTTCCCACCCAGCAGGGAGCCCGATGTGGGGCTCGATCCCA